TTTTTTTCGATTTCACGTTACACCTGATCTTACGATCTATTGGTTGATCAGGTGGGTGCGTTACAATGCACATGCGCTATATAACCCTATTTTTTATATTAAAAAAAAACAATAACCAGATTATACTAACCAACAATATCCGTAACAACATTGACAGGCCAAGATCGCACTCCTTTTTTAAAACTATTATCAATGTAGATTTTCTTGGCGGAATAAGGGCACGTTTCTTCGATTTTGCATTCGAAGCAATTTCTAAAAAATAAATATATATATATTGTGAACTACTTCGGTAATACCATATAAATATATTCAAAATTAAATAAGCATTTACTTTGCGTCACCAGCCTCTTTTGGTTTATTTTCTGAATTAAAATGCATTAAACTACCGAATGAACTAATTTTCTATAGTTTAAAATAATATTTATTGTAAAATTATATAATATATTAATATATATACACACATAATACTCATTATACATACTTTGCATGGTGAATTATTCCAATAAGACATCAAATCTTAAAAATAAAATAAAATTAATGTTATTGATATGGTCATTATAGACATTTAAAAGTTTTAAACACTGACATACCGATATCGTGACAACACTGTAACAATAATAATAAAATTAATAATTTAATATTTGTATAAAATAATATATTTTATAAAAGTGTATATTAACCTTTGTCATTAAAGAAAAACTAGATTGGGCCTCATTCCTCCAATTACCCCTTACATACGAATGCGCAAAATGCCAGAATCCAACAGGCTCCATATGTTGAATATTTACAATATTTCCGAGATAACCAGCATCGATTATTTCCTTAACTACAACATTATGTGGGGTATATCTTAAGACATGACCTAATATTGATTTAATTATGATTTAGTTATAATTTTGTCTAAAAACCTTTTTAAAATAATATAATAACTATTAACATACCCACGGCAAATACAACCTAAAGTTTTTAACAAAAATTAAATTATTGTTATTATAATTAGGAGTTCAACTCAAATCTAGTCCTATTCTACGTCACAAGATTACACACCTCATTCTTTATAATGGCGTTGGAAATCTCCACACAACCGTCAATAGTGACAGCCATGGGTTTTTCTAACAAAATATGATATTTTTCATTCGCAAATGCAACTAATGGTTCTATGTGAAGGTCGTCCAACGTCGAAATAATAACCGCATCACTTAATTTTGGACGTTCAATCATCTTTCAATTTTTAAATAATGTATGTTATCATTAATAACATTTTTAAAACAAGACACATTATTATTAACATTTTT